TCTTGCAGATGCACCCCAAATCAGGGTATGGCAACCAGGGATGTCTGTAGATATTCCTGGAGTGCAATCACCTGTGCTGTCACGTGTCACAGCACAGCTGATCATACTTCACTGATGACATCTATTTCTAAGTTTTGTGTTCACAGACTTCAAACCACAATATCTAGTATTCATAATCTAGCTGTCTTCAAGATCCAATTTCTGATATTATCGGAACCCAGGTGTCATCAACTCAATTCCTATATCAACCTTAGTGACTTAATAAAATTCCATACAGCTGCCCTTGAGGGCTCCTCAGAGCCTTGAAAAAAGATTAGCTACAGAATCAGCATTTGCACTAGTTTCATGGACTCCAGAACCATCAAGTGTTTTATAAATAGAGCCCCTGCACTCCAGGTTTCTCAAACTTTTTTTATTACCGTGATTTTTCTCATGATAGGCTTGTTTGCTTGCTCTGTCTTTTGCACCCATCACATAGGTTTTGATATGTTTTGCTAGTATAATAGATTTGAAAGGGCATTTCATTTGAATTGCTGTGTGAGGGAGTTAATAAAACTTGTATTAAAATTTTAAGTCTTTCATACATTTTAAATAAATCCTGAATCTGGGACAAAGCACAAGACGAGGAATCAAACCATCTTATTGTGGCTTGGCTGTCTTAATATTTAGGTTTCATTTGCAATAATGAACATCTTTTATGCAAAACTTCAACAATGGAAAAGGGAAATGCAGTGACAGGAACTAAAGGATGCATAAGCCTCTTCAAATGTTTACGAGTTTGAATCATTAGTCAGTCAGTAAGGGCTTGATCATCCTGCGCTGTGGGAGTTTTTTTCCGTTGACTTGAATGGGAATGGGATCAATTTCTAATTGATCATATACCTAAGGCTTCGGAGCTGGCTTTGCATTAGCTCCCTTTGGAGTAAACAAGAGAATTACGTCTAATGAAGCTTGATGTTAGGGTTTGGAGTCAACAAAGCATTTAAGCATAATTTATATCAGTTAATAAGCACTTTGTATAAATAAGCACATGCGTAAGTCGCTGGGTCAGTGCCCAAACCTACTAGGTGTTGAGCAGTTTCAACTCCTGTTGACATTAGTGGGATTATGGGTGCTCATTATTACCATGAATTGTTCCAACCCCATACAAAACAAGGCTCAAACTTCAGAGGCAGGTCAGATTGTTTTCTGCTTGAAAGCAGATATTTGTTCAAGTCTCCTTAAGGCTTGTCTATGCTGTGGTGGCAGCAGGATGTGGGCAGGCTGGGCCTAAGGGACATCCCATCTACCTGTCTCTCCAGCTGCTCTCCAAACCTGGCATCTTACTAGCAAGGCCACTGTCAAGGTCTTGGACTCTGAAGGTGGCCTCTCAGGGTGTGTCTGGAGGAACTTTGCAAGCACGTTTCCTGGTTTGGAGCAGGCCTGGAGCTAAGTGGGAGGGCATGCTCCAGCACATCCAGGCTGAGAGAGACTGTGCTGTTGTGTAGTCAAGCCCTGAGTTGTGTACAACCACTCTCAGAAGGGCTCCCGTCACTACTTAGGGCTCCAGTGGTTTGGTTAGTTCAGTATTTTGAACTTGTCTTTTCCTATCCATCTTAAAATTTCACCCCTTTATAGAAAGATAAAGCAGCACAAAAAATTCAAGGGAAGCCCTCCCCCTGTACCTGTATCCCAGTTACCTTGGGTGGGAGTCTGTCAGATTTCACCAGTGGAGCAGGACCTGTTAAGGGTAAAGTACATATGGGAGGCCCCCAAGGAATATCTGTGGGGTACAGAAGCTGATTGTGATGATTTTTCTTCTATATACCCCAGGATTAAGCTTCAAATAGTACACGTATGTGAGAGGTATAGCATTTGTTGTCATTAAAGGATCTATGGCAGACTTTTCCAAAAGTTTCTGGCCCAGATTCCGTTTGATTAATGCCCGTCTGCTTGCCTAAATTCCCCTGGCTGTTTCGTTTGGTAAGTGATGCACCACCTCTGTCAAACAGTTGTGCCATCTTGTGTTGGCCTGTAAAACAGCTGCTGCCGCAGTCTGCTCCATTCCATTTCATTAGTGAGTCAAGTGATGTATTTGTGTAGTTTGTATATCAATTTGTTATATTTACTAAGCAATTTGGGAAGAAAGATGGCCTGTATGCAATGGGACCCAATTTACGGAGAGAGAAAGTTCGAGTTACGCAGCTTATGCGCACACATCCTACTAAATGTTTCTTGACTGCATTCTGAAAATGAAAGTATATCTGTTCATGTAGGGCACGGATCTGCAACCTTTTGAGCAGCAAGTCGGGCACTTGTGATTCCCCCCCCCCCCCAAATTGCCAATTCCCTGCTGCTCTGATTCCTTCCCTTCTCTGTGTAGAAACAGTCATTGTAGGTTTTTTTGGTTTGGGGTTTTTTGGGGGGGAAGAGGGGGTTGGCATTATAAACATTTTCAGCTGATTGGCTGCCTCAGCCGTAGGACCTCATACCACATTGGAAAAAGCACAGAATAGGAAGCTGTAAGGCGGCCCCTTTAAAACACTGCTTTAATTCTGCAAGCAGGCTGGCAGTCTCTGGGGTTCCTGGAGATTGATGGGAGCACATCACTGCAAGCAGGCAACCCTGACTTTCCCTGGTTCCAGACAGACATCCCAGAAATCCTGGTGGGGGCATCTCCGGAAATAGGGAAAACCAGGACATTCCACAATGAAGTGGTGATTTAAAAGGAATTAAACAATGGGTGATATGTGTTTCACCCAGTGAAGTGGATCAGCTGTGCCAGGACATATCGTGGCACAGCTGATCCACTTCATTTGGCAACATTTATTTTTAGCCTGTTTCCCCCCCGCCATACCAGGTGCCACTGGAAACCATGGAAAATGCCAACAGGGAACAGCAAATTTGACAGTGAGGGCACAGAACAGGAAGCTTTAAAGTGGCCCCTTTAAATCACATTTTTAAATTCCTTTTAAATCACCATGTTATCATGGCTCCTTTAAATCAGCATTCCCCATATCCACCACTGAATCGGACTTTCATGAGCCAGATCCAAGCTCTTCATGGGCCAGATCCAACCCACAGGCCATAAATTGCTGACCCCTGATGGAGTTAGTCTCTCTTTATGGCATGCTTATCAGCATGATATTTGATTGGCTAGTATGTGTTTTCCATAATAATTATTATGGAGTGATTTAAGAAGACTGCTATTGTAGGAACGACAAGAAAGGTGGGGTGGAGAGAAATGCACTTAGATTGTTGATGGATCCATTGACTATTTAGGTAAAAAGCGGAGATTAGCAGGAAGGAGGTGATAAGCAGAGGGGAAGATTAACCCCTTCGTTTTGAGCAATATCAAAGCGATTGGCTAAAGTAAGAAGGCATGTGATGCTAAGACATTCTTCATCACAAATAGCGAATCCTATAAAAAGGAGAACGAAATCATTGGCTGAAACTGAGGAAATTAAACACAGTGATTTCATTTTGCTTATACGTATGTGTGTACAGGCTACCATTCAGTTAGCAAACTGAAATCATAGATTTCATGGCCAAGGTCCACTCACAAATATTTTTTAGGGGATTAATAGATGCAATGGATCTTCACGATTATATGTAATAAATGTTGGATTCTAAGGTACTTGCTGATGTTTGAGAGTTTAGCCATTGATTAATCATTCATTAAATATTTCCATGAATCGTGAGCTTGTAACATTGTAGGAGCAGAACCTCAGTATAAAGGACCAACTTTGGGCAGAAGCAAATCATGAAACAAATCAAACAACTTGCTTTCCTAAACAAATTCCTTATAAATAATACCTCTAGCTAATATGCAGACACTCATTTTTAAAGTAACAATCTCAGTTATTGTGCCTGTGATATTCAGGGCTTGATTCTCCACTAGTGTACGCTCATGCATCTCAGAACGGTGGGAGTTTATATGAGTTTTGCACCAGGGTAAATAAGTATAAAAGGGCAGCCTAATAGAGAGCTGAAGTCTATGTGTGCATTGACATAAATGTATCTCGTCTTTATTGACTGTTTCTAATTAGCTTGATTTAATTCTGACCAAAATCAAGAACTTCATTTAATCTTGAAAATATTCAAAATTACCCTGGATTTGATGGGAAATTGTTCATAACATTTTCTGTCGTCTTCAAAAATTCTTCTCAGGGTGGGATTTTTCATGGTGAGACAGAATTGGATGTAAAATTTGTGCATTTCCCAGTTTCAGAAGTGGCATAGCAGCCTAGGAACCTCAGTCCCATTGATCTTCATTGAGTGACTTTTAAAAACCGGACTTAGGAGACTCAAAGTCAGTTAAGTGCCTTTTAAAACATCATCCTGGGAATGTTACGTTCCCACTAGAAAAATCCCCTAATTTCTTTATATTCATAAAGAACTAAAATGCAGGGGTGTGACACACTGTTGCAACTCTTGGTTATTTTATCATGCTTCTGTCAGGTCATAAATACAAAAGTATGCCTCTTCCTGAGCACAGGAAGGGCATGTAGTATACCATCAGCCCTGTGTTTGCTGGAGATGTGGTGCCCTTGTAAAGCGTAAGAGGCTGTGTGCAAGGAAACGGAATAATCCATTTGAATATTACATCTGCGCCCGGTGTCCAAGAGTTGGGCACTTCTCTGCAACCCCTCACCTACTGGATAGAGCCACTCTTGCCTTCTACAGCACCTGAACTAGGATATTACTGTGACTGCTGTGGCAGCTTCACCCTCTGCTGAGGCAGCTGGTTTGGCTGGCCCCAGTCCACATCTCTGAGAAATGTAGCATCCTCTGTAATCATGCAGTGTCTACAGATTTCATATATCTGTTTTATTTTATGCACACTGGCCCTAGGTTCTTCTCTTCAACCTCCACCTACTCAAGGCTTTCCAGGAGAGAAGCTTTAGTTTTCTGAATCCCAGAAATTATCTGTTAAACTGTTTCTTTGTAGCTTTCCAATCCAGTGCCCTCTTTTTCTATTGTGATGTCTTTGTCTAAATGTCTTCCTGCTCTCTCTGCAGGCTATTTGTGGACGGTCCTTTTGGGAGCCCCTCAGAAGAATCCTTGAATTACGAGGTTAGCCTCTGTGTGGCTGGAGGCATTGGAGTTACTCCATTCGCATCGGTACTCAACACACTGCTGTATGTGAACATACCCTGTCTAAAGCCATTTTCCCAGAGTTGCTTCACTGTAAATGATCTCATTGAATATGTAACACCTGTTTAATATAGAAACTCTGCTCCCGTTAAGAGAGGAAAAGGATTGAGACCTGCCACTGAAAGTCCCAAATCAGTTTGTGCAGGCTGGAAATGCAATGCAAGAAAAGTACATTATGTGGGGCAGTGGCATATCATGGAGACTAGCCTTACACACACACACACACACACACACACACACACACACACACACACACACGTGTGCAGTTGGCTTCAGCCAATGTCATTTGACTCTGTTTGAATGCTTCAATTTTGATTTTTAAAATACTGTACGAAAATCAGGTGCACAACCTCCCCCTAAGCAGGACTTTGTGTGTTTAGCTATTTCAGGTCTCCTTGAAAATCCAAACTTAAATTCCCCCTTTATTTTCATTTAAAATTCCATATTATTTTGGTCAAAGTCATGAGTGCTTCAAGCTGCTACCAAAACCCAGGCTTTCAGAAAGAAAGACACCTTTGTTCTTATTATTTATTGTGTGTGTTGCTGTAGGGCAGAGACTTCCAAGCATACACCAGGGCTCCAGTATATCAGGCTCTGTACAAACACGGACCAGAAAGGCAGATCTTCTCTCCAAGCCTGCAACCTAAATACACTTTAGAAATATTTTGCACTACCCATGGGAAGCACTTGATCAGAGATCTGCCAATAGCTGACCCTTTGCCTGGACTGAAATTAAAACTTTTAGTCTGCTTTTTTTTTATGTATGGATGCTGCACACAGTCAGCTCATGCTAATCTCATTTGGAGCCATAAATCTCAGTGCTTCTGATATCAAGCCCGTATTTGTCATCTTCATGTGCCTTATGCCGTCCTCAAAGAAGGTAACAGACTCCCAAATAATTTACTTTTCTGAAAGGACATTGATCATTTTTCAAACAGGGAATACTTTTATCTGAAATGCGTTTACGTTTCTGCCAAAAGACTGGTGTCCAGATGGATAACCTGGCTGTTTTCTCCATGACAGATTATCCCTGACAGCATTAAGCAGAAACGTCACATATCATAGCCACTGGCCAACAGGAGGTAGTGAGATGGCTGTCTCTATCGGCGGATTATTAGAGGCTGTATGGTGTTTGCCCAGACATTGCCACAGCAGTTTAGTGTCTAATGAATGTTTTCTATATCAGATAAATGGGTTGCTTCCAAACACTGAATTCCAATAGTCTGCTGTTACAGAGCATCTTGCTGTTGTGCATCCTAATATTAAGCAATAGGAACAGCGGCACTTTCCTTATACTTTACTGTTAATATTTAATGACATCAACAACAGAGTGACTGTATAATAGATAGGTAGGCTGCCTCTTATCTTAAGTTTCATCAGCAATTGAGATTGGCACAGATAAAAATGCAAACTGTCCAATGATGCCAACTATGGAAGATGGCAAAGCAAAACCCTTCATGTCAGGGATATATGGCTGTGGGAGGATGTGAGGACCTCCATTTGGGCCAGGGGTCTTGTATGGTCCTGTTAAGCTTTGTCCCTTGAGTTTACTTTTATATAATATGGGCAGCAATGAGCTCACACCAGCTTCTTGCCCTCTTTAGAATTGAATGTTACCTGTTTGTTTTTTAAATGTAATTTATAATAAAGAATTTCAGGCAAAATAATGTTTAATTTATTACTATTAATTGAGAGTAGCAGCAATGGTCAAGGCCTACTCAGTGCATGCTTTTGGCTGTACCAGGAAACTATATATTTATCACATCACATAAGCTACTGTAGGTTGATGTGACAATTCAGGTTTGACATTCCATACAGGTGATCTGCATGCATGTTGCAGGCAAGAAAGTACTGGGGATCAGCCTCAGATTTGACTTAGATGGTTTCCACTTCAGCAGTGTGCTCACAGAGGGTATCGTTGTATTCCTCAACCCAGATGCCTACAACTACAGATGGCCTTCAATAAACAATCATGTAATCTTAGAATTTTTACGATGAGAAGTATTTAGGTCGTTCACATAGTGCCCCACTGCACATACAGGGTGGACGAGACCATACGAGACTCATGGCTACTGCACCTTTAGAGTGTCATAGATGTGTCCCTGTTGTCTGTACTAAGAGATTTGTCCTGTGTTGGCCCATCTCTTGCTTCTTGGGAGTTTACATTGGAATAATACAATGAAGTCTGGAGGTCTACACTGTAGCTCTGATGCTGCCTGTGGGTCTTACATGTTGACAGTCATTTAGGGGGAGGAAGAAACATTCCTTCCACCATACAGCCATTTTACTGGTCAGGAAGAAACAAAAACTTATTAAATAATAACTATGTCTGATACGATAAAAAACATGCTGAGATAAACATAGTATTTCTAAGGCATTGGTTGGCTGCTTGTTAAGGATTTAATGTTTAATCCTATCATTTTAGACTGATTTGGGCATTTCAGCATGCAATCCTTCATAGGGAGAAAAATAACTTCCCTTAACAGTTGGCTTGTCATGGAAATTAACTTTTGTACTAATGATTATAGAGCATCTTAATTAACATTTGCTTTTTAAATGGTAATTTTTTTAATTCCCCAAACGTATCATTTTCATTTTAAAGTGACGACTGGAAATGCTACAAGCTCAGAAGACTCTACTTTATTTGGGTGTGCAGGGACATCCAGGCTTTTTGCTGGTTTGCCAATTTGCTCTGTGTGTTGCACAACAAGGTAAGAGATAATTGCTCTCGGGGTTGGTTCTGAGAGAATATTGACATCTTAATAAATACAGTCCTGCACAAATAGTTATATTAGTAAGAAAACTGTTTTGATTAATCATAACCAGATTTCACGAGGAACTTGCCACACTACTTGGAAAGTGGGCAGCAAAGTGGATGAAATCCATTATTGACATGCATGAATGGACTGGTCTCATGGGACAGAACAGGGGTGAAATTCTTACCCCTCGAAGCCTGTAGAAGTTTTGCCATTGCCTTCTGTGGGGCCAGGATTTTGTCTGTTGATGTTTTGTTTTTTCCCAAAATACAAACACTTTTGCAAAATCAGGACCTGACAAGTTTTCAGGGACCCAGTCTCTCTAAGTATTCAAGAAGTAGTCTAGGAGAAGAGCATACCTTCTGGGTAAAGTGAAATCACAGCTCATCTGGTAAATAGACCTGAAAGGGGGCTGAGGATTTATGTTAGTTGGAAAACACCTCTGGTTTTCTAAACAGACCAGGTGGGTTTCTACCTAATTTTGAAGACTGCCTAATTAAGGCTAGCCAGTTGATGGCCCACAAGCCACATGCAGCCCCTGGGTTCCTGGTCTGGGTGTTGCTCCTTCCTTAGCCGCGGCTGCTGCACTTGGAGTATCTAGACTCCCCTTCCTCCAACTTCCACTTCCTGCCCCTGCCCCTAGGCGTTGGGTAACATGGCCCAGCTCCTGGGGCTGTGGGAGCACAGAAGTGTGGATTCAGGTGGACCTGGGGACCCCATGCAGTGCATAGTGCACCAGGAGCTGCCTAGCGGAGTGCAGAACAATGCAGTGCAGCTCAGAGAAGTGTTGATACAATGGCATGAGAGGTGCCCAATGCATGGTGCATCAGGGTGCTGTGCAGTGCAGTGGCCATGGAGGTAGGACTGCAGCAGCGAGAACAGGCAAAGTAGCTGATCAGCGACTAGGCCGGTATCAGCCCTCACTCTTCCTCATACCACCAGTTGCCATGTTCGCTGAGGTTCCTAGATTCTGCATCAGGCCACTCCTCCCCAGATAGAGCGGGACCTCTGCTTGATGCCCTTAGCATAAAGCATTCAGAGATGCTTCTCAGTGAAAGGATAGTATACAAATGTGCTGTTTCATTAAAGTTCCCATTACTTCTGCCATGTAGATCAAGGTGCTTCAGGGTACTGTAAAAGACTGACTTCACTCTTTCATGTAAATAGTGATATATTAATTCACTTGATGTTTTATCATCCTTCCAGCTTTGGCAGGAAAACCGACCAGACTTCATAAACATCCAGCTGTACCTCAGTCAAACAGATGGGATACAGGTATGTGGCTAAATACTGTTTGTAAACTAAACTAGACCTTGAAGTAGAAGACACTGCAAACTGTCAGTTGAGTACAAAAGGGAATTGCCCACAGATGGTTTAGAAAGGGGGAATAAGGTCATATCTCTAGCAGCTAAGTCTCTCTAGAACAAGCTCAACCCTTCCAAGCCAAGACAATGAAGTCAGGTAGCATTAAGATGATTGTCACTGGGCCGAAATCCTTATCTCCTTCTTGTAGGAAAGGGGGCCTTCCAGGCCAGGCCACAGACCAGACTGTTGGCAGGACTTTATAGGAACTTTACATCATTCCTGGGCTAAAAATCAAGCTGGAATCATTCATTGATTTTGTAAGCCCTAGACTGAAAAACAAGTACATTGAAAGAAACAGGGATTTTTTTTAAGTAGTGGGTTGTTTTATTGTTTTGCATTTTGTCTTGAATGTCAGAAGTCAAACTATTTTAAGCATGCAACCAGAAAATGTATTAAACTGTTGTTTATTATAGGCTGCATTATGCTAGTCTAGACAAGTGGATTGATTCCCTGTTAGCTGGAATTTTCTGTAATCTCATAATGTGGTAAACTGGGAGTCAGCATTCACTCACACTCATTCATCACATAGGTAAGGGTCTGACTCTTCAGCCTGAAGTCAGTGGCACTTTACTGTTGACTTCAGCGGAGACAAAAAATTAAAGCAAAGGGGGATGGAAGTGGAGGGATGGGTTTGGGGGGACACATGATAAAGTCTACCAGGTTGATGAGACTTACTTCAGTGTATGTAGCTTTTGGTAAGAGAAATTGTGAATCTGAGTCATATTAGACTATTCAGCTCCGGGCCCCTTAAAATAGCTAGGTCGGATAACAGAGCAGGCGCAGAGTTACTCCGAAGTACCTGATTAGTCTTAACTGAGAGGTCAGAATTTACTGGATCCATCGTGGAAGCACAGTTGTAAAGACATGCAGCTTAGGACCATTGCTCTGATCATGGGCCCAGTAGTTACTGAGTTTCCATTAGATCCGTTTTCTATGCGTGTCTGCTTGTTAGAGAAAGCAGTCAATTATAAAGTGATAAACGGCAGGGCAAAATTGTGTCTTCTGTAGCAGTGGTGAAAATTTAGATTCTGTGGTGTTACTCTTGAAGTCTCCTGATAAAACTGGATGTGACTTTTTTTCCTATTCCCCTGTGACTTGTGACACTGTTGCTTATCCAAAGTTACTCTTGAATGCTACCCCATCAGAATAGCATTGTGTTTTACACTTGTTTTGTTTCAGTATGATCTAGGTTCAAGGCAGCAGGCAATCAAGCCCATTTTTCCTCAAGTACTTTCACCCATAGTAAAAATCAATGAAAGTGGCAGAAAATGTGCTTTGGTACTAGTGTAATGGATATTTTAAATCATTTTGTTATGGGGAGAATGTGGGAAATTCAACCAGATATCATTCTTTTCCATCCCAATGTTGTAGTTGGACATTTAAACCATGGATATGCAATGCCATACAGTGAAAACACACTTGGCTTCATAAAATTGTCTGGACTTTTAGTGAATTAAAAATGCTGGAAATATATTGGGTTCAGTCCAGGTCCATAGCTTTGGCAGCTTTATGTTGCTGAGACAGCTCAAAGCATCTGGTAAACTATCCTCAAGGGGCAACTTTTACAGATCTAGTAATCTTAAGGGTTACTTTACTAATAGTAGGTAAAAAAAAATCTTCAGACAGAAATATGTTTCTTGCATCAACAACATCCCTTTAAAGTTAGCAGCAACAACAGATTAGGGAATATGAATTCATTTCTTGCTTTGTGTATTAAATAAATTGGTTTAAAAATAATGGTGACTAACGAGCAGCTGTATAAAGAACAGCATCTAATGCTGAAGAGGGCCACTGAAAGGCAGGGAGAGAAGGTATTGATGCATGAAATGACTGCATTTTAAGACATGCTGTTTGATACTGTGTTCAGTTTTTACATTTCAGTGATTTGATAAGTCAGCCAGGGCATTTACCAGCATGGCGATGAGACCTCTGAGTGATGCATAGCAATTTAAAAAGCAGGCAATACAGAACTTATTGTTTCTCATAGAAAATAATTGGTGAAAAATATCAAGCCCTGAATTCAAGGCTTTTGATTGGACGACCTCGTTGGAAACTCCTTTTTGATGAAATAGCCAAGTGTAACAGACAGTAAGTATTAGTCTTGATGGAAAAAACTACACTTTGAGGGATGGGGATTTCTTGTATGTTTATTAAATAACTGTATTTGTATGGAAATGACTTTGTGTTTTATCTTTGCATGTAATATTGATATTGTCTAATCCGTAGCAACTGAGACACGCTGTAAAAAGAAAAATTGGTGTCAGTTTGCACAGTCAAAGCAGTTCATCTTCTCATGCAGCAAAAATGTTCAATGGCCCAAGAAATAAAAACAATGCATTTCCATATCACTGCAAGATATTAATCCAGTGCTACAAACAGTGGCTTGCTAGCAACATATGCCAGTTTCATGTTGAAAGATGTATTTCATATATCTGTGCCTTCTGCATTTACTTTCATGATTTATAGTCTTAAACAATAGAAATGCAAGAGCTTGCCCATGTGTGAAGTATTATGTTTTATTCAGAAGATCTGTTGTCTTTGGGGATTACTAGGATTGTTTATTATTTTTTTTAAAGGCTGGCAATGTAATAAGAACTGTACTAGGCAAATTGGTTACAGTCTAAATAAGACAGGCAGGATAGACAAGGCACACAATTCTTTACTCTTATCTTTGAATGATTCATTTATTGCTTTTGGTAAGCTTTGATAAACTAGTCTTATTGCCGATGTGCGTACTGGAGGCCAGATCCTGAGGAATACTAAGCTGAAACAAATCTCATTGATCTTAATATGAGCTATTGGTGACTGAGGTCTCTTGGGATCCGGCTGCAAGATCTTATCGTTTTTTTGTGGTGCTAATCCTTCCATCCCCGCAGCGCAGCACAGTGCCTTGATCTCTTGTTAGGGAACTAGTATCACTGCTAAAGCCAAGCAGTATTACCTGAGCTCTATGTAGACGTGCTCACTGTTGAAGGGAAGGCTATAAGGGCATAGAAAAAGAGATTAGGGAGGAAGTTGACCTGAGTTGTCCTTCTTAGGCCTCCCTCATTAACCCTTCACCTGTCATTCTAATTTCTTTTTTTTTAGTCTTATGGCCAAACTGATGGCTCTTCTACTGCCTCCCTTGAGTGACTATTATGCAGGCAAATACCCAGAATTTGCACAAACCTGTTAACAATAATTACTGAGTCTTGTTTCAATTGTTCCTTTGCATATCTCAACTCATTACTGCTAGTTAAACCCTCAGATCCCATCATCTTCCGCATCTTTGTACGATCTCTCTAACTTGTCTGTCAGCTCAGCTTTAATCAACATATTTTGTCCTACCTAAATAATGCTTCTGCATCTTTCGCTGTTGACACCTTTAATTTATTTGCAGGCTGTTATCTTCCCCTCCCTTCCCCTGTCTCTCCCATTTGCCAAGGTTCATAGACTTAGCTCTGTAATTCCACTGTCTTGCAAAGACTTGTATGCTCTATGCCAGTGATTCTCAGCCAGGATGCAGTGACTCCCTGGGGTGCCACATGATCTTCTGAAGGATGCCACAGGGTGCTATGCAATATTAGCACTGTGCAGACACCTACACATGATTCACAAGATAAGCCCAGAGATTTCAGATGGGAGTCTACAGTATCACAAACGTTCTGACCAGATGTTGTGGCCTTTCTGAGTTATTTGCAAAAAAACTAATTGCTTTATTATTTTTCGTAGTAAAAAAACAAGTGAAAGGTAAGAGCTGGCATTATCTGAGGGGTGCTTTGAGTCTTGTGTGTATAGAGCTATCTATATGCAAGGACTAACATTTTAATCTTCCACTATAATTAAGTTCTTTCAGTCCTCAAATCATTTCTCCCCCAGACTTTCTTTTTATTTGTCACCAACTTCTTCTGAATAACCCAGGTATAATATAGAAACCAGCAATAAGGATAAGTCAAACAATGTCACTTGTAACTTCCGTCTGTCGGTGACATTGAGAGTTGCACCTCTTTTGGCATCTGCTAGGTCAGTAATGGGGTTGAGTAACTTCTAATAAATTGAACAGCTTTTACTTTGCATTGCCAGAAAAAGCGACACACAGAAATTTAGTCAGCAATTCTGTCGTGGGTTTTTGTTTGGGTTTTTTTGTGGGGAGGGTGGGATTTGTTGCTTGACGTCTGGGCAAAGAAAGGCCATGGGATCAGTTTCCAAGATCAGTTTAGAGCTTCATAGCTGGTTTTCAGTTAGCAGATTTAAGATAAACCAACATTAGCTTCATATTCATTGAACTAAGAGGAGCAGAAGTGCACCATCTACTGTTGCTATTTCATACCACACCTATGCTCCCAAGTAAATGCATTGAAACCCTGTACCGAAAACATTATGCATCCTGTTTTAAAAATCTTCACACAGCCTGTCTTGAGGAAAGTGCAGTATGGTGGTTCATTTGTCTTCAGGATTAAAAGCTCTATATTTTTTTTGTATTATTCTGCCTTTTGGATTTTTCTGAGTGTAAGTGGCCATAGGGTGTTACAGACCTGAGAACTGTGTAGACAAAAGAAACTAAAACACATGGAGGGGAAAAGCATAAAGACATAGCACATTTCCTCTATGCTGTAAAACAGAATCAGCTGTAAAGAAATGAGCCCTGACTTTATTATATAGCAAATCGCCTCACCTCGCCCTCAGTTACTCTGTGTCTAACAGGGATAATAATGCATGCCTGTCTACTCAACTCACAAAGGAGCTGTGAGAATTAGTGAACTGTATTTGCACAGTACTTTGAAAATACAGTCATATAAGCTAAGTATTACTATGAAGGATGGTTCATTGGAGATGGGAGCAGATGGGTTTGGACTATGGCTCTGAGTTTAATTCCTAGCTCAGATGACCTTGGGAAACTTTTAAAGTCAGAGTACCTGCTGACTTAAGTTATACATAAGTACACAGCTACATGGAGAGAGCATTAAGGTTCTATCATTAAGTGTTTAGTAATGAGGAAAGGTTGCAAATAAGGTTTCAAGTGCAACCTTTCCTGTGTGTATCTCTCATGCTGTAGTCTTCAGTTATCTTAAGTGAGAACGGAATCTGGGCCAGGAACAGTTGTTACCTTGTGTAAGAACAGATTCAGTAGTATTTTTCAGTGGCTTTGTCCTCCTCCAGGGATGTAAAACTAACCAGTGCCCAACTTAACTGACATTAATTTGAGATTGGCCAGTGACCTATTTCTTGTCTGCCTTTTGTCACTACAGTGGCACAAAATAACTGAAGTGCATCAAGCAATCTGCCTTATGTTTTGGGACACTGACTATCATCCATATTCTGTCCTTGGATGTTTGTAAGACTCCCCCAAGCATATCAGACAGCAGGATCCTGTTCTAAATGTTAAAACAAAGACTACAATACCAATGCCAGTACTCTGCTGGTGACAGAAATAAATCACAAGGTAGCAGTGCTTTGTTTAAATTAGTGTATTGGATTATAAAAAATTATTCTCATCTAATCTCATGCTGGTATATAGCAGAAGTTACAGTAATGAAGCCATTATTGCCTCACACATTTAATAGTGAGGATGATTAATTGTTGGAACTAATTACGTGAAGGAGATGGTTAAGTCTTCATCTCTTGTCTTCAAATCCAGGCCAGATAGATGTCTTTCTGGAAGATCTACTTTGGTCAAATGCAAATCATTGGGCTGACTATGCAGGCAAGTGAGTGAATTCTACAGCCCATGTAATGCAAATGACATTATCTAACAGTCTTCTGGCCTTAAAATCTATGTTACCAGTGTAAGTTTGTAGGAAGTATGATCAGAATTCAATCCGGTGTGTCTTTAGAGTACGGACACACAAACAAGCTAGTGCTGAGATACGCTGGAGGATGAACTTACTACCTTCCCATGTGCATGTTCTTACCCCATGGGAAATGTGACATAGCATACTCCATTTTTTGTGGAAGCATTCAAATCTTAATCTCCCTTGCAGTAACTTGTTTTTGTGTCCATGCCCTTAAACATTATTTTGCTGTTTAACCAGAATACAATGACACTCTCTTTATTCTCGACAGGAAAACTGTTGGCGTTTTCTGTTGTGGACCAAAAGAAATTTCCAAGACACTGCACAAACTGAGCAACAGGCACAATTCATATGGAACAAGGTTTGAATACAATAAAGAATCTTTCAGCTGAAAGTCTGCTGGATTAACAGAACTCTATAGAAGAAGCAAGTGCAATTCTTTGTTTGTAAGACATAAGTCAGCTGTGTATTAAGCAGATGCCATGTACCAAAGTTTTCTTATTTATGATTATTTAAAACTCTGAAGTATGGTGGACACAGCAAAGTACGAAGCCAAATCATGCCAAATTTTTACGCTCAAGGCCAAAAAGGTTCAAAGAATATTTTTTGTTGTGATGGTGGTGATTAATTTTGCAATGCTTAACTTAATAATAATAAAAAGGAGAACCCTGGTTGCTTTTATGGCTGTTTGAAGAACAATCCAGAAATGTCTGAACTCTCGACTTCAGCCTGCTAACCACAATCACCTGAAATTGGAGTTAGTTGACTAAAAACCAACTTGATCATAATTAAAAATGTGCTATTAAATGAGGTTATAACCTTTACTTGCATAGAAACCAGATGTCTTTGAAATGGAGAAGTCCAAGCAAAAATGTTAGAGGATTTCGGGTTTGGAGTCTGTAGTTAAATTATATCGAGTTACTCTCTCTAACCTACCTGTGTAAGGGAAAGCGATGTCCCCATCTGGCAGAGGCATTTATGGAAGACCCTTCTCCACTTCCAACTTTCAGAATGTGTGTGTGACTCTGCTGTTCATGTGGGCCAGGTCCTCTGGTATAAATTAGGTCACATATTAGCTAGCAGTCAGGTGTAGATAGGAAAATAGTACAACTTGCACTAAAGTAGCATTTAGCAAGTGTGCAAAATGAGTACACCCTATTCAGCTAGAGGGAGATGGAGCAAGAAATGAACTAGGGAGTTTCTGGTGTAATAGTCGATTGGCAAGGAAGTTGGACTCCTGTTGTTCATGTGTTCAGTGGCAAATGAGCTCATCACACTGTTTAGATGCCTTTGCTGATGAATTTACAACCCAGTGGTTCAACATCTGTTTTCCAGTATTCCATGGTGACTCCACTGATTTCCACTTTCAGTTGAGCTGACTACAGTTTTATGCTGGATTTTGCAGTTGTAACACAGAGTAGAGCTTGTCAGATATCATTCCCAAAGACATATTTCCATACTTCTTTTATGACACAG